ACAAATCATATATGATTTGTTTCTGTTTAAGTTCACCATCATGGAGACCGTAGTCACCTTCATCACCGATGTATTCCCAGACCTGCGCATGAAAAAAAAAAAGTTCTCTTGGCGAGCTGCTCCTTTATGTTTCTTGCTTCGCTCATCTGTGTCACAGAGGTACTCTGAATATAATTTTGTATTGTAGAAAACACTGGAAGTATATAGTCTGTCTCTTATACACATCTAGATGTGTATAAGAGACAGTATATATATATATAAGGAAACCGGCTGCAACGTTCTCCTCACACAGTGGCATGAAAATAATGTAGTTTGTTCTGCGGCAAAGGCAATTTGACAGTATAAGTTACGGTACGTTAGTAATACCAGTAATAATCATCTTTATTCCAGTGTTACAGTATGTCTATAGATTCAAGATTGAAAATATAGGCTAAGCCAATAATACAGGCGGTAATATAAAAGGCATCATTTTTTTTTAAACTTCCGGATCATTATTTTAATCTTTTAATAAATTAAAAGACAGGCTTTATGTCTAAAATCTAAAAATATTATTTTAAATATTTCTTTCTATGTATTAGTTTAATGTTGATGTTACTCAGCGTAATAATAGTCAACCATAGCATAAAAAAAATCATCTATCCATAACGAATACTTTTCGGACAGGACTGTTCATCAATTTTAAGAAGCGTATGAGACATAGCCACAATAAGGTAGTATTTCTAGATTATTGACGTAGCATTGAAGACGGTCGAGCTATTGGCCTGACTATCTTAATTGATTTAATGGAGAAAATGACAGAATACAAGCGTTCACTGAAACTGTAAAGATATATTAATTTACGTTCAAAGAAAATGAAGTAAATTGTCATTGTTATTGTCAATCTAGTGTTTTGTAACAAGTCCGGCCTAATTGTCCAATGGGAAACTGTCTGATGGGTTCTTGTTAAGGAAACCTGCTACGTGCTGCAATACATGATGTTTGCTGCAGCAGAAAGATGCGATGCTGACTATAGTGTATGGCACTAGCAAGTGAAACAAGTGATGCATCCTGCCAGCATCATTGGAGGAAACATCGAAATTGAGGTATTCCTTATTATTTTTTGAAATATCACTCTTTAAAAAAAATGTTGTTTTAAGTTCTGCTCAGTCTCTGGTTAGGCATGCACGTATGGTTACATGCTCTTATCTGTGCCATCACTGTCCTGAAAAAATATCATTTCTGATTTGTCGAACTCCGTCCTTAAAGTCTTTGAAGGTGAAGCAGTAGATAATTGGATTGATGCAAAGATTAGATGTATACATGAGAATTGTAATTTCATGTACCACTAGAGTACTAATCCGAAAACAATTACATACGTTGTACACTATATATATCACTTCGTTAGGAGTAACTGTAACAATGAACGCGATGGCGACAAGTGTAGTAGTGTATAGCAGATGTCGTTGAGTCCTCTTTAGCTTACCATTACGACATGTAGTAGGCCTAGTAGTCGAAGCACCACTCTTTGCGCCGCACGCATATAATTGCGTTATGGTGTTGAGCTTCAACAAAATGCGCGTGTAACAGAATCCCATGACGCTTACTGGAATCAACCAACACATTGAGAAGACATACACAGCCAATACTACAGCGATTAGTTTTGACGAGTAGTTGTATACACATTCTCCGTGCACGTCCTTGCTCAAGTCCGCAGTAATACCCACCTGAAATGCGGTTAAGCTACCCAATACATGCAGAATTAACAAGGGTACAGTTCTCTTTTGACCAAAGCTTTTTGTACGATAAAACAACGGATGTACCACAGCAATGTAGCGCTCTATAGTCAACATTACCAGATTGTAGGTTGACGTTGCTGACGTGTACCAGAAAAGAACTCTGGATTTACAGAACACTCTTCCCCATAATCCAGAAGGTGCATTGCTGTTGAAGAAAACAAGATACAGTGCACATCCGACGAGGTCGGTGATCGATAGGTGTAACAGCAACGTGTGTGACAAAGATTTCCTATACGTATTGTTATAAACAAATACCACAATAACTACTAGGTTAGCGATTACTCCTATACTGCAGATCAACCACCGAGCTGATATCATCCAAAATGAATCCACAGTGGAGATGTTAAAATGTTCACTGAAATTCTGCATTTTTAGTTTTAAAGATGAAAAAATGAAAACGCTAAAGTTCAATTTGGTTGTACCTCAATGATGATCATTAATTACTGCTCAACATCATCATATAACTTGATTGTAATAACGAAAATCATTTTCTAAGCTCTAACAATTTGGACCAATTTTATATATAGGCCTAACTGTGTCAAAGTATAATTTAATTATAATATAAAAATAGACATTATGTAAGATGAAAAAGAAAAAATAAATCAATTAAATCTTGAAAATCCTTAGATTATGTTTAAGCCTTAGGTATTTGAATGGTATATAAATAGTACTTAGCCATAGATCCATAGATTTAATTAATTAAAGTAATTAAACTTGTGTATGTAAATATACTATTCTATAAAATGTGATATTCTATAAAATATAATCAGTATACTAATAGGATTTGGAATTTGTCTCAATTTTGTTACTATTATTTGTTAGATTTACAAGCAAACGTCATAAAATACTACATAAAATTATGGAAGATAAGAAGACAAGGATACTGGATAAACTCGAAGGATATATCCTGGTCAAACAAGGACATAAATAATGTTGATTGTAAACCGAATCGAATAAAACTGTATTATAACATAGATTTCATAATGTTGCTTGAATGTTTGCATGACAATGAACAATAAATGCTTGTGGTACACCACTTAGATATTTCTGAAAAGAACTGGTGTGTTTGTTGATAGTGTCTCGACGTTTCTATGGAGTTACTTCAATCGTCATTAGGAGAATATTTTTTAGATTTTATCCAGGTTTCTCTCTACAAATTCAAAGCGTTAAACTTCTCTGAATACAAGAATATACTGTTAAACAACGATTTCTGATCATTCTCAAATTTCTTTTAGAATTTGTCCTCTTTCGTTGTGACAGAAAAACAGTCGGACCAGTTATTTGTCGACAATTGCCATTTTTTTTCTCACTTAGCAAGACTCATTCCATGTTTACCTGCACGAGCTCCATCACCAGTAGTGTGCCCTGAAAAAGTACTCCTTAACCAATTACAAATTTTAAGTCTAGCCACCCCGATGTTCTCTTATGCAAATTAATTAAGGACTTTGCGGTCGAACTTTCTAAATCCGTTGACGATTGTAAGCTAGCGAACATGTAGATATTAACAAGGCAGAAGGGAATATGCAATGAAATCCATCGTCTGCGTACCAGTATCTGAAGGTTAATCAGTCAGTCAGCCAATCAATCAATCAATCAATCAATCCAACAAACCGAATCAATCAATCAATAATATACCAACCAACCAATCAATCATTAACTGAGAAGGCGAAAAAGAAGAAACGTCTCAGCTGTCACGCCAAAATTAGTCCGGCCCAAAAATGGTCCGGTGGACAGATTTGGCATCTGCTGCCCGTAGGGTATGATCAGTGTTTCTCGGGCCGTGAAGTGGAGGGAATTAATAATTATGCTTCTCCCACACTTGAAAAATCTTTTGCAGTGACAGAATGATTCGTATTTAGCTTTTGTGGACCCGGGTGTGTACCCCGTTGTGGACGTATTTTATCAAATACACATGATAATGCATTCCTAGGCCTAGGCGATAAACATCGGCTTTCGGTGGCCGTGCTTGGCCTAGGTTTTTTAGCCTAAAATGAAACATGAGTCTGATTTATTAGCTTTAAATATTCAATATTATTGTGTGTGGTATTAGGTATACAATAGTAATTGTTCTATTACATGAAAATAAAAGGGGTCAATAATTTTTTTTTTGTGGAAATGATTGCTCATTATATTCTACCATTTAGTTGCAGCAACCAAGCACACAACCAAAACAAAACAAGGTAAAAAATAAAGTAAAGCGGACCAACACGATTTACGATCATATCGTTTATTAAGTTCTTTTCTAACTTTACACCTAAGAGTTTACTTGGCGCGAAGTCGAGCGAAAATAAACATAAGCCTACTAATTTTTGTGGCTGTAAACACAATTTCATACACACACAACGAATGAAATATATTATATAATATGAGATGACTCGATATATCTATCATTTGGTTAAAAACAAATTTGAACAACGCTAAAAATACAGGTTATAACTACTAAATAGATGCAGGACAGATTTTGTTATGTGGACTACATTTGGCAGGTAATTTTAAAGCCAAAATCGGTCCGGCGGACAAAATTATTCCTGACAGGCCACAAACATTTATGTGATCTAGCGCCATCTAGGTATGTATGCTCTCTCTTATGTATACATTCGCTTTGTTAGATTAAAAATCCTCAACAGCGTTGTCGCAGCACTAACAAACTGATATTTTTTACTAAAAAAAAGGTTCACCATACACCTATTAACAGGAATAAATTTTTGAAAGTGAAAAAATACGGAAAGAGAATGATAATTTAATAATTGAATCAGGGAGACAAAACCTTCATAATTCAGTGCCAACATAATGGTCACTTCAACAAACTGTCCTAGTATCCTTAACTGAGAAGACGAAAGAGAATAGTTACAAACATTTCATTTCTAGCGCCATCTAGGTATATATGCTTTCTCTAATATTATATACATTTCCTGTGTTTCAGATTAAAAATCCGCCACAGCGTTGTCGCATTACCAACAAACTGACATTTTTTTTTCATGAAAAAGGGTTTGGGAAAAAAGGGATAAACTTTTGAAAATGAAAAGATAATGATAATTTAATACTTGAATCAGGGATACAAAAACATTCATGATTTAGTACCAACATAATGGTTACTAACAGTTTAACAAACTTTCCAAGTAAGCTGGCATAAAAATGTAGCTAGGCCTACTTCCGAATTAATTTTTCATTATCATTCGATCAAGTTATTACCAATATACAATTAATGTATGATTTATTAATTCTAATCTGACTATAACTCGTACATACATCTATTTAATTAATTGCCATTTGTACCATAAATTCTACAAATATGATAACAACTTCCTGAAAGGGTAAATTTGTCCTACTGGCATGATATTAACTTGGATGTAGGCCTAGTGCAGTGAGCAATATCAAAGATCGTTACTAATTATTCAATCGGTCACAAAGTACACTAAGAGACCGTGTGTCAGAAGCGGCACCATAGGCCTAAAGGAATCTTAACATTTCGTAGGTAAGATAAACAATGAAGTATTCTTCTTTTTTATCATAAAGGATAATGCATCATTTTATAGATAAAATATTATAATTTGTTAAAGAAACTACGAGAATTTCTAGTATCCCCCCCTTCTTCAATTAATTATTCAAATTTACAAGCATTAAAGAAGAATCATTATTAAAATATTGTAATTTGTTATCACTGTAATATCGTAAAAGCAAATATTGTTATTACATATTGAAGTACCTAATTAAAAAAAAACACTGATTGATACCATAAAAGATTAAATTTGAATGTCGCACATCACAGTCATCTATTGAATTCTGTTCGAAATTTAAGCCGGTATCACACGTTGCGATTTTGCTTACGATAAGCTGCGCTATGTAAAATTCTACGCTTTTAGGCATATATGTCGTACAAGCGACATAATACCTCCCATACTTTGCCCCAGTTAAATTGCCGCGCAAGACAATTTTAGACTGATGTGTATTTTGCGCAGCTTCTTTGTAAGCGAAAATCGCAACGTGTGAAACTGCTTTATTCCGACTCTATTATTCGACCCAACACATAAATAAAGCAACCATAGCAATCGTTATATACCTCAGATACAGATGTAGTGTGAAGCTTTACGTTTCGCTAAAAAGGTTTAATTTGGTACAATGCACATAAACTAGGCCTATCATATGTTTATACTACAATAGTTTATGACTGACAGATAATGTGCAGATGTATGACAAGTGTAGTATGCTAGGCCTAATTAATATTTTGGGTTTTTTTTTTGTAGCATAAAAATGGTGGATTCATCAGATTCCATCGGTCTGATAGTGGCTCGTTGTTTGGTCTGCAGTATTGGCATATTAGCTAATTTCGTCACCATAACTGTGTTTGTTTACAATAAAATATATAGAAAATCGCTCTCCCATACTTTGATTTTACACCAATCAGTCGTCGATTTTTGCGGTTGCTGTCTGTACCTTGGATTCTACAACAACGACGCTCCTTCAGGAGAGGCCGGTACTGTCTTCTGTAAGCTTCGAGTCCTATTTTGGTACATGTCAGCTACTTCTATATATAACTTAGTAATGCTTACTATCGAGCGATACATTGCAGTTGTTCATCCGGTAATGTATCGGAGAAGACAGTTTGGCGTGAAAAAAACAGTGCCACTAATATTGACTCACGTGGCGGGTATTCTGTCTTCCCTACAGTTGGGTATTCTTGCTGAGGCTGACCAGGGAACAGTTAATTTAACTGTTCCCTGGGCTGACGTAGATTTGGAAAAATCTGGTGAATGCAGGTATGATTACCGCGAGAAAACAAGCATCAGAGTGCTGTCTGGGATCTTGCTTTTTAGCATGTACTGGCTAATACCAGTGGTTATAATGGGATATTGCTACGTCAAAATAGTTATGGGCATGCGTAGAAGAGTACTACGAGCAGACGATGGTGGGGCGTTACACCAATCGCAGAAAAACTTGCTGACCACCCTTGTGATGATCTGCCTTGCTTTCTTAATCACTGTTACGCCTGATTTTGTGTTGTATTTAGTCTATTGTATTTGCAATTGCTTTCAATTTAGTGAAGTTGCTTATCATGAAGTTACAGTTCTGCTAAACACATCAAACTTATGCATCAATCCATTCATTTACAGCTTCAAGTTTAAAGATTTCCAAACAGGATTCCTCAAGATAAAGCGACATATTTTAGAAGGTATCCGCGGAAATGAAAGATTAGAATTTGAAATGAATTCGCTAGAGATAACCAACACAAAATAAACAGTCAATATCATATTAAGAATAACATGAATATATATATATACAGTTCGCTTAAATATAGACCAAATTGGGTTGGCGCAGCGGTTCGGTTTCGGTCCCTCAACCTTGAAGTCGGAGGTTCGAACATAATACAACATTATATTGTTAAGTTCTTGTCTGAGATTCTAAAGTTTGTAAAGAGTTGCAATTAATTGGGTTGTTGAGTATTATATAACTGGTGTGCAATAAAAAATTAGATGGTATGCTTTTCCTCCAGACAATTAAACAATATGTAAACTAGGTTTTTTTTAAAGGCCCTCTTAGAAGCTACAGCCAGTAATAGTTCAAATGTCATAGTAATTTCCTCGAAATGTAATGTCAAATTTTCAGACTGAAACGGCTGATACATACAGTAACTCAGATAAGGTACAAAGGTTATAGTCACCTGGAGCACTGATCGCTATGCGCGTGTGCAGAGGATTTGTAAAACAATCTATTGAGTCAATCAATTCAAATTTTGTTTGCGAATGTCATAACACAGCCATCCATGGATTGTCAACAGGCTTATAAAATACCATTAAGTGCCTCTCCAGACAGTATCCATAATAACAACAACATAAAAGCAAGCTCTTAATCGAATGTAACAAATAAAAGAATAAAAGTTCAACAGTCATCTCACATCACCACTACAACGAAATACAGAAATATATATTCAGTATTTAGGTCCAGGTATTATTTGAAAAAAAATTAATTGATGGGTAGTTCGAATGACATCGTAAAGGAATTGATCAATATTTGTTATGAGACTAAATTAATATTTGTTTTTATGAATATAGAAATCAGGACATTTTCGTTAGCCAGATACGTTTTAGATAATTGTGGTAAAATAATTGTTTTTTCTATACAGTTTATAGCCAAATTGTGAATATTTATGTATAAAATAAAGTAATTGATTGAAAAATCTCGCAGCATCGCCATTCTTCATACGTGTAATAATAAATCCAGCAGTAAAACAGGTTTAAACAGTCGAGTTGATCTTATTGCAAAACAGTTGGCCGGTCCACGACCGGCCCTGTCTTAAAGTTAAATTTCATTTATTGAACATGCCAATAAATTGGTTTATGAATAAATATAATGCATTATATATATATATAATATATATATATATAGAT